TAACCCTTCAAATTCCCGCAAATTATTCCAAAATAGCCTCGGGGTCGCCTACTTATGACTTGTGTATAGATATGATTTATCGCCTTTCGAATAATTCATTAATATAATCTTTATTTTAGAAAGATGCTAACATGAGTTAATTTATTGTTGTTGTAGCTACTTATATTTCACTTAATCGAAAATGAGTATAAAACAAACTCATCAAAAACACCAGTCTTCTTATTAAGTCTGATTAAGGCTCATTTGTGGCGCTCGGGCTAAAATAATTGCAATGCCAGATCAATTAAGAAGTTAAAAGAAACAAAAAATATTCCACAAAAGTTTTGCAATATCTTGCTGGGCCATTTTGCCGTGGTATAAATGAATTGTGTTTTGAGTGATTTTAATGTTTTAAGTTCACGACATTTATATAAAACGCATGTATCAATAGTCCAAGCAAGCATTAAAAAGTATAACCAACACAAAAAAACGGAACTCCAAGGCAAATTCAAAAAAGGGATGTCCATAAAAACTGACAAAATTAAATGCTATCAATCAACGGAACAAGTGAAAAACAGCTGTCATATTACTGACTTAGTACAGGCTTTTTCCGAAGAAAACGGAAGGTTAAACCTGGCTTTATAGCTAGCTAAACCTCCCACTTGTATGACTTTTGTTTATAGTTCCGTTGTATTACCAAAATTGGGTAAGCAGCCCAAATAGGTTGATGTGGCAATAATTGGGATCTAGCAGTCAACAGTGTGTAAACATACATCCTAGACAACAAAACCTGACTAAAAAATTCAAACAAACAAACAAATTAATCTAACAAAGACGCCAACAAAAAAGGTGTAGTAAATACCAGTTGAAATAACTCATTAAAGATGCCTAGACCAAAATATTGTACGTAAAAACTGACTACGGGACTGGTGTTACACTCGAGGATAGAAAGTCCACCTGCAGTGCATTCAACATAGTCTTTGTAAAAACTCATCAAAGATTCCAGGTTTTATAATTTATTAGGCCAAACATAACATAGCACTCAGTAATGATGCTCGAATCAAAACAGTTCGAATGCTAAATCAATAACGGAGTTGAAGAGCTTTATTATTACTATGTAAAAAAATACTGAACCAAATATGGCTAACTTATACCTGCGATAGTAAACCTTAGTGTTTCGAGTGATTTTTACATTTCAGGTACAGTAAATCTGACCATTACCATTATATATCATACCAGCATTTATTTGCTGACAACTGGTCTGGTGATACCCTCAAGGACAATGTGATTTCATTCAGAAGTATCATCGACCTAGTGATCATTACAAACAAATCATGAAAAATATTAGGCTTGTTACTTAGTACGTCAGACGCGCGGTTGTCTTAATTCCACTCATCAGTGAAGCTCGTAATAAAACAGCTAACAACAAAGTTGAAGAGCGTTGAGCATGTAGAATCCCCCCCCCCCCCCCCAAAAAAAAAGAAAGATATGTTATGAAATTATAATTTGTTACTAATATATATGTCAATTAATACATGATTATGCCAAAATCACATTTTGCACTGTACTGGATGATATCCCTTCATACCCCTCATATAATACGGGCCGTTCGAAATGCAGGTTTGGGAAATTTTGACTGCCACTGGAAAATGAGGGTATATTGGATAGAGACAGAAATGTTGCCTTCCACTGACGGACACCACAAGTATTGTTGCAAGGGTTCTTAACATGCAGAGAGAGGGGCACTCTCCCCACAGGAGGTATCGAATTTAATTTCCACATTCTGACCGGACGTGGCTACGTACTTTTACATCCCGCACAGCCAAACGGACTTCCGGTTGGAAAAAGACCTACATTCTGCTCAAACTGGTGCTAGGGGCCGTCTTAAACTTGCAGTGAGGTAAGAGGGTCTTTTTGGGGGGTTTCGTGTTGAAGGCCTTCACTGTGACTTTGAGATAAAGAACATCAATAAAAGCGCTGTTCCTTTGCTGTTTGTGGTTTTTGCTGTGCATACACTGACTGTGTGTCATGGATGGATAACCCATATACTTTCTTTTCTATTAACTGACCATATTTAAATGGACACGATTTTTCTTTCATAAAAAGGACACGCTTTGGTGCCCATTAAGAACGAGACATGTTTTAGAGTGTTTTTTTATTTGTCTTTGTAAATTATTTACCTTTTCTGTGTATTCCATTTTTGGTAATAAACTTTTGGCGTGGCTCGGTACTTATGCATCCCGCCATTGTGTTGTTGTGCTGTGGTCATTTTTTGTATTCTTGTCTTTCATGTTTGCTTATGTGCTTTGTCTTTATGCCATTCTGTTTTTCTTTGTTGACATATTTGTTTGTTTTTATAGTGATTAAAATTATAACACAATGTTGACTGCTGTACCCCTCATTTTGACATTTTTACCTATTAAGTCTGTTTGTTTTGTTCACACTGTTATCAATATAATGGAATTGTATGCGACTGTCATACAAGTGAGAGGTTTAGCTAGCTATAAAACCAGGTTTAATCCACCATTTTTCTACATAAGGAAATGCCTGTACCAAGTCAGGAATATGACAGTTGTTTTCCATTCGTTTGATGTGTTTGAGCTTTTGATTTTGCCATTTGATAAGGGACTTTCCGTTTTGAATTTTCCTTGGAGTTCGGTATTTTTAGTTATTTTACTTTTTTCAGTGACGTCATATGGACACATTTTTTTGGAATCGGACACGTTTAGGGGGTGGACACGTTTCTGAGTGGTACATATATATGCTACATTTCGCACAAATATTACATTCACAGTCTTTTGATTTAAGAAACATTGCGTTAAATAAAAAAAAGTTATCTGTTCGTAAATGTATGTATACCGGAGGCATATAATACAATAATTTAATTATATGTCTATAATACAATAATTGTATTATATGTCTTTGTGTATACGTAGGATATACCTGTATTACTGACAATTAAAAATCTGCCTCATCTTTATTTCCTTATAACGACGATCCTTCACTTGTAAACAGCGTCAATCTCAACAAAAACGTTTATCCCGCATTTATATAAACAAGAAAACTTCCGAAATGTCAGATCTACAACAAGATGTCACTTTTCCTGGTATTTCTGGCAAAGGTTGCTTCTTTTATTATATCCCGTGTATATGGAGAAAGGCACATGATATTTGTCTTCAAACCCACTACAAGAACAACAATGACATCAACAGATTTGTTCGACGTGCAACATTTCTCCCACTTGTACAAATGTATCATGTAAAGGATGGTTGGTTGTGAATGCATTAGAAGAAACTTACACAAACATCAACACTTTAGAGTTAACTTTACCGACTATGTCACAGAATAATGGGTTGAGTGTAACCGCCACCCCTAGCTGGAACCATTACGAAATAGTAGGCCCACGAACAAACAACCACTTAGAAGATAGGCATCATAATCTAAAGAATCATGTATGGACAGCACCCACACCCAAACATCTTCAACTTGGTAAAACCACTGAAGAAACAGCAAGTAGCTATTGAGTTTAGAATAATCCAGTACTCAGCAGGTGGTAAACGTCGTCAACGCAAAAAAATGTACATTGAAAATGACAACAGGCTAGCTGACCTAAACCAGCGACTCCATGATATCAACATGACACCAGTTGAGTATGCAGATGAAGCATTATAACTTTTTCATATTAATTAGTGCATAACTTTTGAGACAATCATAATCTTTATATTATTATATTTTGATCATATATTTTATATTCATCACGAGAATGACACTGGTATATATTTAATATGAATAGATGATTATTCTTTTAATAGAATTATAGAAATCCTTATTTTCCATTGTTTTATTATATCAATTTTATATTAATTCCTAAGGAAATGGAGATCCTCAACACATACAATTACCTACATTTTTACTATTACATGTAACAAAAATGGTATTGAGCTCACTTTAATGCTAAGCATAAACTGTTTGTAAATTGATTAGCGTAAAGAACTTTCAGAGAAAATATGTGCATTTTTTTATTTATCATAAACCATTCATAATCATATGTCATAAATTCGTTTGATTCGTACAATGTTTGTTATCTTGTTGAAAATAAACTGCTAAAAATTGTAAATTGGTGGCGCTCGAATAAAGAAGTTTAGAGGCCCAATTAAATTCGAAGTTCAGAGAAAAATTACATTCTAAAATACAAAAATTGAAGAACAACAAACTATTCTTCTGTGCGCGGTTGTTGTAGTTTTAAAATTTGATATGTGAAATGTGTGATAACAAAACAGCAACTAACAAATCTTACAAATTGTAAAATCTAAAAGCCAAGGATGTATAAATACTCGAAGACTTGAGGAGCTATATCAACAAAAGCGATCTTAAAGGAATAGCAAGTTAGTTTTAAATTATTTCTTATTCATCGACAGAAAATTTAAGAAAAGTATGTTAAAACCGATGTAAGTGCGCAAACACTAGTTACCTAACTGTTTGTACTGGTTAAGTTGTGCATCTGGACAAAAATTTCTTTGACCAATCCTCTGGGTTAAAACATCCGTAAGACAAACGTTACGACGTTAACAAATATATAACCGTACTGCATTTTCAATTTTGTTACGGAAATTATTTTTTTCTGGCAACATTTATAATGTATTATATTAGCACCAAAGCTGAGCTACATGTACTGTATTTTCGTGATTAGCACATTATCTCAAAAACAAACTATTTATCTGCTGAGGCATCGAAGTATACAAATATATATTACCGAACTCATTGGACAAAACACACGGTTCTTTAACTGAATTTAGCCAGTATACCTGAGACAAAATCATTGTGGAATCCAATGAATAAATAATGCGTTTGGGAAATTGGATACCTATGGCAGTACAGCGAACATTGTGCAGGGAATTGCAGCCAAGGCTTGGTAGAAATACATTCAATACAAATTAAATACCCCAAATATTTTCGTTTGTAAGCTATTTTGATAGTTTGATCTTGATACAACTTTATAAGTATACTGGAAACTAATTTACCTCGCAAACATTTGTCCACATCGCCAGGAAATCTTCTTTATCAATATAACCAGCTGTGTTATGAGCTATCCAGTTCCGATAATATTTTATCCGAGATAAATCCGCTTCTTCGCTGATCAAAGCTTCTGCTGGAAGTGAATCCTCTAATTTCATCTTTTGTAAATTGCGCAGTAAACAAATCATTAGAGTAAGATCCATTTTCGATGACTTCGAGTTTCCTATAAAACAATTGTACTTTTTAATATTTGATAGTGTACCCATGTAGACATAATCCCACCATAACCATTTCAAACATCTTGACTGCTTACTGGTTATTATTGTATGTTACAATACGATGTGTATGTATCTCAGCTCACTTGCGACATGTTTACGCAGCATTAGATATTTCGATACCAGCACAGTCGTCTGATCTGTCATTTTCCCGATTGTGCCCTGTTATGCATGCCTAATTCTGTCGAATCACCCGGTCTATCGCCATTCGGTGTTCATGCGTTTCCCTTAGTTATTGTTTGTTACCTTGATTTGTCTATCTTTAATCGATTGACGAGATTATAATATCGATAAACTTTCGCCTTAATTTATTTAATGTTGATCAGGGAATAATGCAAACGAAATAAAAAAAAAACTCAAAGATACCAGGCTTATAAATGTGTACGCCTGATACGCAATTCGTCTACATAAAACTCATTATTACTGCTAGAATCAATTCAAGAAGGTGGAAGGCAAAATCAAGTATGAAGTTGAAGTGCATTGAAAACTTAAAATTCCGAAAGGTTTTGCCAAATACGTCTAAGATCATCTATGCCTGGGGATAAAAAATCCTTAGTCTTTCGAATAATTCAACAATGTGTTAAGAGTTTTATAAAAGTTATACGAACTTTCCCAAACAGACATGAACACCTTACAATCTATATATAAACCAAATAAAGTGAACGTTTTACTTAATGTATCTGAGGAACGGACCTTATCACAATAAAAAAACCAATTGTTCAGAGAACAATTGAAGATCTTTCCACATTACATTTCTAGATGAATGATAAAAAGCTATTTTTAGTTTACTCAAAGTTACTATTGGCGTCCAATCAGAGGTTTCTGCATACTGATTCCAAAATTTTATGGTTTCTTTATACTTTTGACTTAAAAATGGTAGATAATTTGCTACTCCCGATAAAGAAAATGTCATTTTAAGACTCATATGATAGCTTTCTTTGCACTGATTCTAAAGATATATGGTTTTATATACTTTTGTCTTAAATATAGGAGACCATTGACTACTTCCGGTTAGGAAGATCTCATTTCCTGACTCATATGATAGCTTTCTTTGCACTGATTCTGAAAATATATGGTTTTATATACTTTTGTCTTAAATATGGGATATAATTTGCTACTTCCGGTTAAAAAAATGTCATTTTTCGGTTTCATAAGATAGCTTATTTTCCACTGATTATGAAAATATATGGTTTCTATATTCTTTTCATTCAAATAAAGGAGATAATAAAGTACTTCCGGTTTAAAGTATGCAACTTCAGGTGTCATTTTAAAGGATTTTGTATGCTGATTTAAAAAAAAAGTTTATACATACTTTTTAATTGAATTAGTGTGGGGCCTCGGTGGACGAGTGGTCTAAGTAGTTACTACTGTAATCACTAGCCAGTCAACACTGAGGTTGTGAGTTCGAACCCAGCTCGTGCGGGTGCACTCGACTCCAATCTTAATTGACTAGGATTGTCAGTTTTCCTATCGAAGGTCGGTGGTTTTCTCCAGGTACTCCGGCTTCCTCCACCAATAAAAACTGGCCGCCACGAAATAGCCCAAAAGCGGTGCTAAAAAGTGGCGTTAAAACACCAAAAATCAAAAATAAAAAAATCATTGAATTAGTGCAAAAAAGCTTCTTCCGGTTTGTCACCTAACCCTTTGTAAAAGACACTATGGCTTCAGAGTGAAGTAATATTTGATTTACCTTAAATTTCAACATTTAAGGGGCAATAACTCATATAAGGTATAATCATATCACTTCGGACTAAATGTACCATTTGTTCGTCTCAACAACCCAAACATTTAGCATCAGTTCTTTTATATGTAGCTTTTATAGTATTAGATAAGATGTACACACAAGAAAAGGGCAAAATTTTGAAAATGACCTTGACCTTTGACCTTGACACCATTTTCATGTTGGTGTACTAAGGACCTCAAATCAAGATACCCTAGGTCACTATCACTTACGGTTAATGAGTTACATTCATATATCACTTATGTCAAATACAAAAGGGGAAATAACTTTCATATGGAGTCTCAGTATCGCTTCAGTTATAACTGACGGAAGCATCCTGAGGGTTTAACGAGCAATTTGGAAAAATTAATTTGTCAACTTCTGTTACGGTTGCAAAGGAGATGTACACACAAGAAAAACAGTGTTCGGGAAGATAACTCTTACAAAGAAATTAGTTCGGTATAGCAGGGTCAAATTTAAAAGCGCATAAACTGTTAAATAACATATACCAAATATCTAAGCGACCTGTTGCAAAACAAAATTTACAGACAAGAAACAAATTTGGCGGAAGAAAAAAAAAATAATTAAAAACCAATTGTTCAGAGAACAATTGAAGGTCTTTCCACATCAATTTTCTAAATTATTGATGATAAGCTACTTCCGGTTTACTTAAAGTTACTATTGGCGTCCAAGCATAGGTTTCTTCATACTGATTCAATAAATAAATGTTGCTATATATTTTTGCCTGAAATAAGGGAGATAATTGTCAACTTCCGGTTTAAAAATATCACTTCCGGTCTCACATGATAGCTTTATTTACACTGATTCCAAAAATATATGGTTTCTATATACTTTTGCCTGTAATAAGGGAGATATTAGGTACTTCCGGTTGAGTGAAGGTTACTTCCGGTCTCAAATGATAAGTTTATGTATACGTATTTAAAAAATATATAGTTTCTAGGTACTTATGAAATAAGTGCAAAAATGGCTACTTCCGGTTTACGCAAGGTCACTTCCAGTTGATATTTTCCAAGGTCATATGTAAAACCTACAGTTTGCAAAAGACCCTAGGGCTTTATCATGTACCAAGTTGTATAACCTTAAATTTAAGCATTTCAGGGACAATAACTCCTATAAGATGTCATTGGATTGTTTCAGACCAAATGTATCATATCTGCATCACAATTAGGCAAACATTTTGCACTAGTCCTTTCATATATATCTTTAAAAATGACAGAGAAGATCAAATAGCAGGGAAAAGTCAAAATTTAGAATATGACCTTGACTTTTGACCTGACCTAAATTTCATTTTAGTAAACAAAGGACCCCAAATCAATATACCTTAGGTCTCTATCATTTACCATTAATGCTATACATTTATATATCCCTTATGTCAAATACAGAAGGGGAAATAACTCTCATATGGAGTCTTCAAATCGCTTCGGTTAAAATTGAACAAAACATCGTGAGGATATAACGAGCAATTTGGTAAAATAAATTTGTCGCTTTCTTTTACAGTATGGAGGAGATGCACTCACAAGGAAAACAGTGTTTGGATAGATAACTCATACAAAGAAAAGTATTCATTTAAGCAGGGTCAATTTCAAAGGGGCATAAACTATGTGATATCATATACCAAACATCTAAGCGACAACTTGCGAAACAAAATTATACGCAAGAAATAAAAGTGGCAGAACAAGAAAAAAAAATCAAAAACCAATTGTTCAGAGAACAATTGAAGGTCTTTCAACATAAATTTTCTAAATAATTGATAAGAAACTACTTCCGGTTTACTCAAAGTTACATTTGGCGTCTAAACATAGGTTTCTTTATAATGATTCAATAAAATGTATGGTTTCTATATACTTTTGCCTGAACTAAGGCAGATAATTGCCAACTTCCGGTTAGGAAAATGTCATGTCTGGTCTCATATGATAGCTGTATTTACATTGATTCCAAAAATATATGGTGTATATATACTTTTGCCTGTTAAAAGAGAGAAAAATGGCTACTTCCGGTTTAGAAAATGTCACTTCCGGTCTCATATGATAGCTTTATTCACACTGATTCCAAAAATATATAGTTTGTTTATACTTATGCTTGTAATAAGGGAGATAATTTGTTACTTTCGGTTATAGAATATCTCTTTCGGTTATAGAATGTCACTTTCGGTCTCAAATGTTAGGTTTATGTATGCCCATTTAAAAAATATATGGATTCTAGGTACTTTTCCATGACATTAGAGCAAAAATGACTATTTCCAGTTCACTGAAGGTCACTTCCGGCTAACATTTTTCAAGGTCATTTGTCACCCAACATTTTGCAAAAGACCTTATGGCTTTATCATGTACCAATCTGTAGTAATACTTAATTTAACTTAAAATAAAACATTTCAGGTGCAATAACTCCTACAAGATGCCATTGGATTGTTTCAGACCAAATATATCATATCTTCATCACAAGGAAAAGTCAAAATTGAGAACATGACCTTGACCTTGACCTCATTTTCTAATTTAGGACCCAAGGACCTCAAATAAAAAGACCCTAGGTTTATATGGCTTACGGTTTATGAGTTACAAAATCATAACGACAAATTTATTTAGTAAAGGTATATAACTCCTATAAGATTTCACCCAATCTCTTCAATCCAAATCAGCCAAAAATTCCTGAGGATGTAACGACCAAATATGAAAAAGAATTTTGTCGTTATCTTCTTTGGTTACGGAGGAGATACACTAACAAGAAAAACAGTGTTGGGGGAGATAACTCTTACAATAAAAAAAAGTCTTCGCCTTAACGAGATAAGTTTTAAAAGCGCAATAACAGCTCGATATAATATTCAAAATATCTAAGCGACATCTTGCGAAATAACTTTATACCGCAAAAAAAGGGTTTGGCGGAAGAAGAAAAAAAAATAATTAAAAACCAATTGTTCAGAGAACAATTGAAGGTCTTTCCCTCTGTAAAGATCTATTTTGATATGAAACTATTAAAATTAGGGTTAGAATGTCATTTCCAGCGTCAAATGATAGCTTATAGTAAGCTGATTCCAAAAATATATGGTTTCTTTACATTTTTTTCTAAAAAGGGAGATAATTTGTTACTTCCTGTTTGAAAAATTTCACTTCCGGTATAATTTGATAGTTTACTTGACACTGATTCCAAAAACATATGGTTCAATATACTTTTACATTCAATAAGTACAAAAATAGCTACTTCCGGTTTACACAAGGTCACTTCCGGTTGGCTTTTCCATGGTCAAGTGGCTTGCAACCTAATGCAAAAAGTCCCATGGCTTTATCATGTATACATATGAGGTAAAAGCAAAGGTCAAAATCTAGAATGTCAAATTTACCTATGACCTTGAGCTCAATTTCAAGGTCATAAACCAAGGACCTCAAATCAAAAGACCCTAGGTCTTAATTATATATGGTTAATGAGTTATATCACCATATGCATAATTTTAAATATAAGAGGGGAGAAAACTCGAATTTAATGTTAGCGTACCCTTTCAACCAATATGTATGTGTTACGACATGTCGCAACTAACAATTTAGTAAATATGTGTTGTCGATATCTTGTACGGTTTTTGAAAAGAGGTGAAAATAAGGCAAAATCAAAATTTAAAATATGACCTTGACCTGTGACCTTGACCTTATGTTTTTTTGGACCAAGGACCTCAAATCAAAAGACCCTAGGTCTCTATCTCTTATGGTTTACCAGTTAAAAGTGCATATCCCTTATATCAAATGCATTAGGGGAAATAACTCTCATATGGAGTCTCCGAATGACTTCGGTCAAAAGTATCCGTCAAATCCTGAGGATATAACGAGCAAATTGGTGAAATAATTTTGTCGTAATCTTTTACGGTTGCGAAGGAGATGCACACACATGAAAAACAGTGTTTGGGGAGAAAAGTGGAAAAACCTAATAAATAAAGGACATACACTAAACGTTGACCAATATCCCATGAAAAATGAGGCAAAGGCAAGATGAACATGTCAGACGAACTTGTACACTTACCTTTAATCTATACACAGAAGATATTTGATATATAACTTATTCCCGATTTTGTGCTTACATGAGCAATACGACGGTGCCACATATGAAGCATGATCTGCTAACCCTTCTGAACCACCTGAGATCCCCTTACCTTGGGTTTTTGTAGGGTTTGTATTGTTCAGTCTTTAGTTTCTATGTTGTTTCTATATACTGCTGTTTGTCTTTGGGTCATTTTTTGTTTTCGCCTTGGCGTTTCCAGATAGTCATCGTATTATGAGTTTGATATCCCTTTGGTATCTTCCGTCTCTCTTATGCTAGAGCATCTAAAGAATGAACCTAATAACTAAAACGTTGACCAATGGACCATAAAACTAGACCAAAGATGAAAGAATCTTATCTGATGGACATGTTTATCTTATAATAATTTTATATAGCAAATATAGAATACCATTTCCTTTTAGTATGTTACCCTCGGCCCTAGTCATGAATATTCAAATTGACCAATGAACAATGAACAACGAAAATGATACCAAGGTTATGGATAACTGTCACACGCTTCGGATACAAGGATTTAACAGCTATGAGGATTCAGCAAAATTTTGGTTTGTTGAGTTTTCTTTTTTTATAATATTTTTTCTCTCTATGTGATAGTTTTGATGATTTTTAGTCATAAATTTGTTTAAGAGAATAAAAAAACAAAAATGTGTGATATAGTTTTCATGCTCACAGCAACTATTTCTAGAATAATTTTCATGCAATATGTTCAAGTTGTAGTTCTAAGTAAATGATATGAATATGGTACTAACGGGGACTAATATTAAGCGGTAGTGACTTATTGATAGAAAAACGTTTGATATGATTTCAATTCGCACAGCACATATTTCTAGAATAACGTTCATAAGATTGGAACCCGAAAAATATAAAAGCACACAACCCAGAAGGGTTAAACAGAATATCAAAACTATTAACAAGTTCATTTTTCCTGAAGGAGTTGAAACGTCAGTTTTATAACAACTAGCATTAGCCTTTAACTTCGCTTTCCTCTATATAGATGATGTCCCCTTACTAACTAATTCCAAAATTGCTGACTGTGTTGAACTTATCTATCTCATCGAATTTGAAATAAAGGATACAACAGATGCAGTTAAGTCTACGTCAAGTCTTGACTTACATCTAGAAATTAATAATGAGAGTCGGTAAAGAACAAAACTTTACGACAAAAGGGATGATTTCAGCTTCCTAATTGTGAATTGTCCATTTCTATGTAGCAACATTCCAGCAGCGCCTGCATTGGGAGTATGTAGCTCTATTTCAATACGAAACGGAAACGATATTCTAGAGCTTGCATTTCCTATCATGATTTGAATTAGCAGTACTGACCCCGTCGTAGTTAAAACCTATTATAAATGCAACATGATAATATTAACGTATAAAATATATGTTCACAATTTAAGATCGTTCCTCTTCATCGTCTAATTACATATTGATGACTATAAATGTCATCAATTGTGACATTTTTTTATTTTAGAAAATGTGACGGTTTGGAAACCAGTGTTTAATAGAACATAATATTATATAAAAGGATATTTTTTCATACCTTTTAAAGGATAAAGTAATTCCATCTGTGACTTGTTAAGAATTTTTTTTTTATTTAAAGATTCCAGTTTTCCTTTTGACTGAGTCAACACCACATTCAATCCGCAAGGTTGAAAATACTTATCAAATACAACCCGAACAGCTTTTGGTGAAATACGAATAAGAAGATTAGCGAATCTGAGGAAGTTGGTCTCTTCTTCTGTTAGTGATGGCACAGCAGCTACTTTAGACAAAGCCATCTTTTGAAATCGTTCTCTCAATATAAGATAAAATTTATTTTTGGAACTTCTAAAAAGTGAAAAACAATTGCTTTACTTTATAATAGTTGAACATTTTTCAACTAGTCTTCCATATAAGTTTGATTTGCACAATATTTACTTTATTCATATCTAGTTCTGAGCTTTTTGTCTTGTTTCAGATTATTTTTTCTTTGCATAGTTGCTCCTCTGGTTTCAAAATCCTTGTAAAGGGACCAATTAAAATATGAAGTCAATATAAACAAAAATTCTTAAAACAAAAATGATCACATGTCTTACGAGACCATTTTCTATAAATTTACTGTTCACAAAATGATAGAAAATATTTGAAACATTTAAGTTTCTCTATCTCCAGGCATAGATAGCAATTGCCAGATTGTGCACATTTTTATGAGTTTTGGTTATTATCTTTTTGCATTTTACATAGCCTTCAAACTGTTTTATTCGAGCTCCACTGATAAGTCAACGTAAAATAATGAACTCCAGTCATATAAAATAGAGCTTTGTGTTTTTTATGCGCTTTTACGACTTAATAATGACTTGTTACTGTACAAGTATTTGTATGGTTGTAAAAAAGAAAGAAAAGATATCAATGCGGGAGGGGTGTCGATGATCATAATTCCAATAAAAACAAACAACACCATGGTCCAAAATAAAAATAAAAATAAACAGATACGCCCGTCGCTTTTTCGTAGAATAAAGTTCAATAACTTCTCAATGTCATATCAGAAATTTATGAACAACTAAAGAGAAGTTGTCTTAATAGCTATAAACCAGTCACCAAAGTTTAAAGCAAACTGCTCAAAGCATTTAAAGATATTGTCCGAAAACTGGAAAATCACCCCTTTTTATGAATAAAATCCCATTACTCTGAAACGTAAAATATAAAATTTATAAAAATCAAAAGGGAGCTCACGTCAATAGATATTAACAATTCACCAAAGTTTCATGCAAATTGATGAAAGTGTTTTTGAGTTATTGTCCGACATGTTGACGACGGACGGACAGACGGACAGACGGACGGCCGGACGAACAGACGGACGGACGGTTGGACGGGCGAACGGACGATGGACGGACAGACGACGGACATTCGACGACGGACGACCATGTAATGGAAATAACTCATAAGACATTTGGACTAGGTGAACTAATGGCAAATCGATACTTACTTTTAACGTTCCTCGCCATCATTTTTTTTTTCATCAAACAACTTTTTTCAATCATCATTTAAGATACAGCTTTTCGAGAGCATTCAGGTTAAATCTAATTTTCTTCAGTACCAAGATCAATAAGTTATTGACGGGGGGAATGTCCAGATAATTTGTTTGTAAAAATCTTTCAAGCTACCCAGCACGACTCGTCTTTTATTAAAATAGGTCATTGTTTTAGTAACAACAAACAAAAGAGTCAATTGGACCTGCTTTGATACGATAACTACACTTGCATTTTTACTAGAAAACATTTTTGTTCGCTATGGAGATTCCGTATATCGTCAAGTTATCTGAATTCCAATTGGAACTAACTGTGCACCACTTATTGCGGACCTTTTTCTGTAATGTTATGAGTTACAATTTATGACTAAAATCAGCAAAGACCCATCGAAACAACTTTTGATACAAAAATTTAATAACACGTTTAGATATTTGGATGATATATTGGCTCTCAATAATGATGACTTCAGTATGTACACTAAAGAGATTCATCCTGCTGAACTGACTTTAAATAAAGCTAATACTAACAATGAACACTGCCTTTTCCTGGATCTTTAACGGGAAGCTTAATACCACAATTTACGATAAAAGAGATGATTTTTCACTTCCTATTGTTAATTATCCATTTTTAGATGGTGACGTTCCTTTGTCACCATCTTATTGTGTTTATATATCTCAACTTGTTCGATTCGCTCGTGTATGTAACAACGTATTTGATTTTAAGAAAGAAATCTCTGTATTACTGAAAAATTGTTACTCCAGGGTTTCGATATCACAAACTAGTCAAAACATTTACTAACTTTAACCATCGGTACAAGGACATCATTCGTAAATATAAATCAACATGCAGACATCTTATACGTTCAGGTATTTCACATCAAATCTTTTATGGTAATATTCTATACAAAGCACAAAAATGTCGTCGTTCACCTCAAAAGCTAACCAAACCTTTAAACAGACTTATTCAGAAAGGATATAGTTACGATACTGTTGTCAGATCGTTAAAGATGGCATATTTTGGAATTAATATTGAGTCACTCATAGGGTCTTTGCATCGGAAATAAAAACATTTATTCTAAAACCAGTTGTTGGCATGATACGGGTTATGTTCTTCTCATATATTTTATGATGGTATGATACTAAATACCTAAAGGGAGGGATTGTGCTTGAATTTTATTTGATGAATACATAATCTATCAATCAGTTTAATTGAGGTCTGGAGCTAGCATGTCAGCAACTGCTCGTAGTCCTTTGTTAATTTATGTATCATTGTCATTTTGCTTAGTTCCTTTTGTTACCTATTCTGACATCGGACTCAGTTTTCTTTTAACCTGAGTTTTATTGTGCGTACTGTTGAGGGTTTGTTTATTCTGCATTGGGTAGAGGTATAGGGGTGTGAGATCTCACAATCATGTTTAACCCGCCGCATATTTGCGCATGTCCCAAGTCAGGAGCCTCTGCCTTTGTTAGTCTTGTATGTTATTTTTTCAGTTTTAGTTCATTTATATCTTTCGGAGTTTAGTGTGACGTTCATTTTCACTGAACTAGTACACATTTTTGTTTAGGGGCCAGCTGAAGCCCGCCTCCGAGTGCGGGATTTTCTTGCTGTGTTGAAGACTCATTGGTGGCCTTGGGCTGTTTTCTGTTCTTTGGTCGGGTTGTTGTCTCTTTGACACATTCCCCATTTCCATTCTCAATTTTACAAAAATTGGTAAAAACAACTTTCAAGGGCAACAACTCTTAAAAGGGGTAAATTAACGATTTTTTCCAGTTGACTTATTTGTAAATATTCTTTTGTTGAACATGATAACTATTGAAAGATTCTCTCTACCTGCTATAGTTTATGCTTTATCCACAAATGTTGACATGTTGTTCTTTTTTACCCATTTGTCTGTTTTGCTCTAATTACTTTAGTATTTGAGATATGATCCAATAACTGCATTCTTCCCTTTCTTATTTTTTTTTGCAACAGCAACCATATTTGTTCAAGGAAAAAATCAACAACTCATTTTTGAGGAATTTCCGGAGAAAGATCAATATTAAGAAATATGGAGTTTTTTGGTTATCATCTTGAAAACTATAATAGAAAGAAAGAATGTTTTAACAGAAAATGACCTGAACTAGAAGATCTACATATCTGTCAAACATGGCAAAAATCAATTGACCCTCTATCGGAATTCTTATCCTTTTTGCATTTTTCATGGCAATTATAGTAGATAGAGAGAATCTTTTAATTTTCAAATTAAGATCTACAAATAAGTCATCATGGCCGAAATCTTTGACACCTTATAGGAGTTTTGACCTTAAAAGACGAAGATTATCCATTTTTGCTTGTTTGCAAAAACTAATAGATAAGAAGAAATTGTAATAAGAGGCACTTAAGAGCTAGTAAAGATATGCCTTTTTAATATTGATTTATACCTTTATTCCAATCAGTTAAGCAAATATAATGAGGTAAAAAACATGAGCGGTTCTGGAATTTAGGAGCTTCTTGTTGCACATCTTTTTATTTTGATACAATTTGTTGTTTAAAGGTTTTACTTATAGATTATAGGTTTCAGATAATACGCGAAAATAGGAAAATTATTAACACTGATAGAACACTGAAACACCACTTTCCTGTCTATCATTAATTTATACAAATCTATTTGATTAAGTCATAAATGTCTTGAAAGTACAAAAACCTGTAGACTTATATGAACATTTGGTACATACTGAAAATAAGTATGAAACCAATGCTTTAGTATACATTCGTATACAAAGACAATCTCAGATGCAGTCATTGCTATTATTCAGTGATTTATAATTTCTCCTGTTAGCTATTCTTCGTTGGGAATTAGACATCAAAAAGTATGTGTATTAACATTTCAATACGAAAAGGTGTCCTTAACACAAGTCAGTTGGCTGCAACTGCTTATAATGAATAACGTAAACAAGGAAATACATTACTTTCTCTATTACTTGCATTCCCATGTTTTTTTATATTCAAAGATAGTCATTTAAAGTGGTTGGTGTTCTTGTCAAATAGAATTACGGCGGAATTTTTTTATTTCTATTTTACCAACCAAAATCACTTTTTTATAATATGTTTCTGAACAATAAGCAATTTTAATCTTGAATGAAGGTGAACTGAACCCTATTAAATATCAATGATTGTTGTGACAAAGGCCTGTTTTCTCAGTACTGATAAACTAACCAATATAGTTTGATCCATTACCTGACGTTATTTATCAATTTTGAATGCAGTTGAAATAAATCTGAAATTTAAATAAACCAGTCAATTATTATAATAAAGACCACTTACTACCAAACACCGAATATCTGAATTCACATGCTTTATGTTTCAACTTAAAAATAATTAGAACAGTCTGCTAATATCAAATACTTATTTCCAAGTTATTTTTTATGACCATGTGACGATTGATTAGACTGAAGAATTTTAGTTATAGTTCAAAGTGCCAATGTTATATCACATCTGCGATATAGCCCACTTACCGTTCCTTACGTTTTTAACATTAAAGTTCATTGAGGAAATATTAAACACAATAAGAGCTACATATGAGTTATTGTCACTGAATCACACTTTTTACCCGTTTTGGAATTTTAGCAGACACTGTTATAATAGATCGAGAGAAACTGTAAATCGCAAATATGATAGGCGAAATAAGACCTACAAATAAGTTCAGAGCCTGAAATCGTCAATTAACCCCTTTGAATGAAATTGTTTACCCATTTTTAAAATTTTTGCAGAAATCATTATAGATAGGGAGCAACAATATAAATTTTTTTTTTAAGCAAGATGAGATCTGAAATAAGACAACATGGTCGACCTGATTTTATCAATATTGGCGTTTTTTGCACAAACTGTAATAGACGAACAGTAAATACCTAATCTTTTTACAATATGATCTACAAGTAAGTCAACATCGCTGAAATTGTCAATCGACTCCATATAGGCGTTACTTCCTTCTGACTAATGAGTTTTGCCTATTTTTTGCATTTTTATCAAAAACTATAGTAGATAAAGAGAAGCTTCAAAAAAGATCGTTGAAATAAGATTTACAAGCAAGCCGGTCAACATGAAAATTGATACAAATTGGAAATAAGTATGGAACCAATGCTTCAGTGTTTACCATGTATACAAAGACAATCTCAAAAGCAGTGATGGCTATTCCTCGGTGATGTTTAATTTCTCTTATTAGCTACCTTTCATTTGAGATAAGCCGTCGAAAAGTATGTAAATTAACATTTCAATACAAAAAGGCGTCTTCATTCACCACTAGACAACACAAGTCAGTTGTCCGCAGCTGTTTATAATGAATAACATAAACAAGGAAATACACTACCTTCTCTATTACTTGCATATCAGCCAATGTTTTTTTTATAATCAAAGAAAGTCATTTAAAATTATTGGTGATCTTGTCCAGTAGAATTGAGGAGGAATTAGTTTGTCTCTACTTTTACCAACCAAAATTCCTTTTTTATAACATTATCCGAACAATAAGCATTTAATTTTGAATGAGGATGAACTGCATGATTATAATGATACAGACTTCTTTTGTCAGTACTGATTAACTAACCAGTATATCATGGTCTTATTTCTCCATTTTGAATGCAGTTAAATTAAAACTGTATCAATAAAAACTAACCCGTCAATTGTTATATCAAAGAACGCTAACTACCAAGCACCAAATATCTGAGTTCACATATGCGTTATGGTTTTATCTTTAAACAATTTGAACAATCTACAAAGTAGACTACTCAAATTACGACTTATTTGGCCGGTACTCTCTGTTTGATGACCACGTGACTTTTTTGTGTGAGAATGATTATCTCATCGATACGCATGTGCAGGTAAAGTTTGTACGAAAAAGGAAACAAAAATGACCTTAAATTTAATTTTGTTTTGAAATACAGGTACAATGATGCGATAAAGTAAATCTGTTGGTTCTTGATTAAATATTGTCTTTCACAGAACAGTGTTTAGATTGTATATTTTCCTTTGCGTTCTTGTCCCTTGATAACCTTATAATTAACAAAACCGTGTGTTGTTTACATTTTAACTGAACCTTGAATAATAATATAAAAAACACCCAAAAAAGCAAAAGAAAACAACATTCTTCAATGATATGTTCGTTCCGGACAAAGAGAAATGACACGAGTAATAAATGCTACTGACACGAGCTTGTCAAAAGATTATATTTATAATTAAATATTATGAAAAGATTTTTCACACTAGGCAATTCTGAATTTGTTCTTACATAGATAAATATAATGATCTTAGATTGATATAATTGAAGATTTGGCGATTTTAAAGACAAATTTAAGATCATTTTTCGCCGAATCTGTGTGCTTTCTTTACAAATGTACATTCATTTGAAAGAATGCATTCAATAATATTTCAGAAAAATAAAAGAGATAAATGCATTTTTTCGAATTTAAGTTATAGTTCAGCTTGCCAATGTTGTATCCAAAGTTTTATACAAATCTGCGACATAACTCATTTACCGTTCCTTGACCTTAATTATGCTATTAAGGTTTAAGTTCATTGAGGAAGAAGCTAGCAAAATCATTTCAAAATGTATGTCAGACTATTTCTAAATAATATATTAAAAGCATTTGATCGTTTCAAAAGTAGATTCGTCTAACTCACATAATGTAGTAAGTCATCATAGTACTACATTAAGTATATAAACAACAAACCTGTTCTCGCCTCAGTGAGAGCTTAAATGCTTTCCAAAGTTAGTAAGGATATTTTTCTCGAGCTAAAACATGTATACATTATATCAAGATTTGATTGGACAATATAGTTGACATAAATACAAATGAGGTCCTTGAAATAAATAACTTTCAATAGATATACTGACACCGTTATCATACGGAAAATTTGTTTACGAAATCATATATCTTGCCATTGTTAAAAACACATAAAAGATAAAGTAACGTATTTAAGCAAGTATAATCTGTGTCAGGACACTCAAGCTGTATTAATTAAAAGACGTTAGAAAAAGTGCATTGCTATACAGTCATGAACACTTATTGGCCTATCATGTCGATACTTATATTTTGACTTTCTCTTGCTGTTTATGACATATTTACACTTATTCTATTGGATGTGCACTGATTGAAATTTAAGTCTGGTAAACATGATTTATTTGTTAGTTGTATTGAGCTTTCAAGTTTTATAGTATTTAATAAATGCCAGTATTTAAGATTAGTGCCTTGTTTCGTTTGTCTTTTTGTTAGTTGATTTGTGCTACATGTCATTTAGACGAATCACACCCTTTCCAACTCATTGATTTTTATACTTTGTATAGCTGTTACACCACTGTCCCTGGCCAGGAGAAAGATTATATTGCCACATTCTCCATATGCCTGTCCTATGTCAAGAATATGTAAATTAGTGGTTGAAGACTGCAATATCTGATTCAGATTTATTGTTTTAGCATAAATCAGTTATCTGGTTTTGTCGTTTTAAATGATTCAAATTTTATCATGCCTTTTGTTTTTCTCATTGTTGAGACCAAACGAACAGAATTATGTCTATTAAAGGTCCCATTTGTGTCCATAGAACTGTCCAAGTTGTCTTCAAGCTGTTAATTTTCTCCTTGATAACATTTATGTACGTTTCGGCAGCAAAGTTTATCGACAGGTTGTGGGTATTCCTATGGGTACTAATTGCGCCCCTTCAATAGCAGATTTGTTTTTGTACTGTTGTGAAGCACAGTTTATGACCAAACTCAGTAAAGACCCGTCTAAATTGCATTTAATTGATAAATTCAACAACACTTACCGTTATCTTGATGATATTTTTTCGTTAAATAATCAAGAATTTTCTCAATATACTGCCGAAATTTACCCAAAGGAACTTACTTTAAATAAATCAAATTTAAACGGTAACAACTGTCCTTTCCTAGATTTACATATTTCAGTTTTACACGGGAAACTCCACACTAAAATGTACGACAAAAGGGACGATTTTTCGTTCCCTATTGTTAATTTTCCCTTTTTGGATGATGATGTTCCTTTGGCAACATCTTATGGTGTTTATATTTCACAACTCGTTCGCTATGCGGCAGGCCCGTGTCTGTTGTGACGTTTTTGATTTTAACGAACGTAATCTATGTATTACTGGTAAATTATTAAGCCAGGGATTTCGTTACCACAAATTACTTAAAACCTTTACTAAATTCTTCCGCAGATATAAAGATTTGGTTTTGAAGTTTGGTTGTACCTGTAGAAAACTTATTTCAAACGGGATTGCACATCCTCATTTTTACGGCAATTTTGTTTACCGTGCCCGGAAATTTAGAAACGATCCTGGTAAACTTATCGATCCTTTAAATAAACTTATTCTAAAAGGTTACCAATTCAACACTGTAATTAGATCATTAAATATTGTTTTTATTGGTACTAATATTGATTTTGTTATCAGTAAATTAAAAGAAAACTAAATATTATTGTTATATACATATACACATTCATGGATCTACAATCTGTCGATACCTGTATCTTGGTATTGCACAAGGTCATGCTTTTCTCTGACTGTTTATGACGTCTTTATACTAAATCCATTGGATGTTGGATGTGTACGGATTGATAATTTAGTCTTAGATGCATGATTTTAGTTAAGCCTCTTTCAACTAATTTTTATAGTTCGTTTTTATGTTGTACTGTACACCACTATTTTAGGTTAGGGGAGGGTTGGGATCCCGCTAGCATGTTTAACCCCGCCACATAATGTATGTTTGTGTCTGTCCCAAGTCAGGAGCCTGTAATTCAGTGTTTGTCGTTTGTTTATCTGTTACATATTTGTTTTTCGTTCATTTTTTGTACATAAATCAGGCCGTTAGTTTTCTCGTTTGAATTGTTTTACATTGTCATTTCGGGGCCTTTTATAGCTGACTGTGCGGTATTGGCTTTGCTCATTGTTGAAGGCCGTACGGTGACCTATAGTTGTTAATTTCTGTGTCATTTGGTCTCTTGTGGAGATTTGTCTCATTGGCAATCATACCACATCTTCTTTTTTATATTCAATATATAGACTGTCCGACTTTTCTATATACACGGTTCGGATAGTCTTTTCTATAAAGAGTCCGATTTGTCTAGTATTCGGATCTGCTTGAGTTTCGTTTTAAAGGTTGTTAAAACTTCGAATAGGGCGTGACCAGACAAATTGGATCGTCGATTTATGTTTATATGTAAGATGGTATGTTAGCCATCATTGCTTACATTCACGTCATGTGCATGGTACCTGGTGGATAGTTGGTGTATCATTGGCAATCATACCACATCTTCTTCTTTGTATAAATATCCAATGTCTGCAAATGTCTGTCTTTTTTATTACACTGCTTGACTAAATGCAAACATGCTAACAAACTTTATAGCAAAAAGGACCGTATTTTTTTCAACCTGCAATTGTAGGTGGGTCTGGATGGGGTTCCTTTTTTATTCTTTAAACTTTATATACCATTTTTCTCTATTATTAATTAATGTTGCCCATTATTCTCTATTCTTTATTTTTTGGGCCGATTTTTCTCTGTTCTATATTATTTTAGCCATTTATTCTTTTGCACTTTTTGCCCATTATCCTCTATTCTGTTAACCAAATCCAGTACCTCTTGTAGTAAAGATCTATCCATTACTGGTATGAAAGGACCTGCATTTAGATACATTACTTATAATGTATACTGTCTTCTTTAAACTACATGTATTTGAATAATCGTAAAATTATAGCTTTAAAATATCTTTTCTTCATCTTATTCTTATTGTATTAAAAAAAATTATACATTGTAAAGTAAACTCAATATGTAATTCTTGAAATTTTAAGGCGGATTTCTCTGTTTATATTTAGTTTTAGTTCATTTTTTATACATTTTCAACCTGTTACAGGTAAATACCTGGAATTCACATTAATCCGAAAACATAACCTATTGTTGGATGGCTACATCTCTAGAAGATATTTAAAAATAACCTTGCATAACAAATCAGAATTAAAAAGTGTCTATGATAAGCCCAAGGTCATCTTTTAATTTGATAAACTAAATCCGCATAATATTATACAGGATACGTATTATTATTTTCTTTACTATATAGGATATTGTTTATTTTATGTTTTTATGCATGTTCGCTATTTGTTCTGTTCATATGCAATCAACCTCCTGGGGTATTGTTTTGCATTCATAAATAATTTATATTATAACAACTCATCAGAGATACCAGGCTTAAAATTTTGTACACCAGACGCACGTTTCGACTACACAAGTCTGATCAGTGCACTCGAATCAAAATAGTTGAATATGAAGCTGAAGAGCATCGAGGACCTTATTATACACTGAAACGTCAAATTTAGTAATTTATACTATGGTAAAAATTGTTGTCCTGGAAAATGACAATAGGGGGTTTAATCGTATAGTCATAAACCTTGCACAATCAAAGTGATTGTTCCTTCACATATAGACAGGGACCAGAGCATTCGAAGTGATGCATTTTTTGTTTGTCTTCATAATTGGTATTTTAATAGAATAATCACAGGCGCTTAAGGAATGGACCCCATTTTTCTGTGTATATTTTTGATTTTTATTTTTGTAATTATTTGTGGTTAATATTTCTTAATTTTCACTAATTAACTAAATAACTTATGTGTTCTTGCTCTTATCCATACGATTTTACAATAGCATATAACTATGACCCTCGATCTATTCGTATTTGGGAAAATCTGAATAGAGGGGCATCATGAAATTTATGTCCTTATGCATCAAATATTTCTTAAAAACAGTTACAGGTTTAAGTAAACATCATAGTTGTTTGGCAATAAAAGAGTACATGCACTAATTGAATTTCGAGCCCACGAAAAAGTTTATAAAACAAATTTTGATTTCACATTTTGGTATCTTCCATTATTCACGGAGAGGGTTAACCCTATGTTTGTATGACACAGGACAAATGGTCACCCCTAAGGTTAAGTTTGCTCAAATCGGTCCTATATTTGCAAAGTATTACTACATATTAGGAAGGTTTTGATCAGCACAAACTGATTACAAACTAGGGCAGATAATAACAGCATCAGTTTTGCAATATTTCATTCAAATCTATCTTTCGAGTCAATCCCATTACACTGTAAATAAACTCACCATAGATAACAGGATTAAAATTGTTTACGCCAGACATGCGTTTTGTCTACAAAAGACGCATCAGTGACGCTCGAATCAAAAAGTTAAAAATACAAAATAAAGTATGAAGTTGAAGAGCATTGGGGACCCAAAATTCCGAAAGGTTTTGCCAAATACAGCTAAGTGATCTATTCCTCGGGTAGAAAATCCTTATTATTCAAAAAATTCTAAAGTTTTGTCAACATTTAATTTATAATCATGACCATATCAATGATTATTCATGTTAACTCAGAAGTGCTGACTACTTGACTGGTATTACATGATTTATTATCGCGGGAAATAAATTTCGCGATTTCCAGTCACGGCTACACTTGTTCGAGGTGTGTTATTTCGCGGGTATTCGGTCTCTGATTTTGAGCCTCTCTATAGATTAAATTAACTTGAAGGGGTATTTTCGAGACAACATCTTACTTGCGATACAAGCCACACTAAGAACAAATATAAAAAAAAACAATCCCTCACCAAAATTTTAAACTTTATAGTATCAAAATATTTGAATCACATTGAAGGTAGCTTCATCCAGTAATCCAGTTTGAGATTCATGCATGTATAATGAGTCCATGATTCATGTTGTCTGTGATT